TTCCTTTAGGGCAGAATTGTGTTGGTATCATTAGATTCCATGTCCTGGGATTGGGTCCAGGGCCATGGTCTTAAACCAAATAGGACACATCCAGGGCAAATAAGGGGATAAGGAAAAAGCAGATAAGGAAAGTTCTGGGTCCAGGAATTTGTGTGTATTCAGTTCAGTCTTTGTCTCCCCCAGCTTTTCCCACAGCCAGTGCCTCTGCATCCTTTAAGACCCAGGCCAGCTATCACATCTCTGCCCATTCTTCAAATTACCCCCACCCCAAATCATTCTCTGTCTCTGTTCATTTCTGTCATTGTCATTGTCCTGCTTGTGGGAAATGATCTTGTTTATCCTGCTCACTCACTCTATGAGGGGAGAGATGATCTGCCTCATTTACCAAAATTTGTTAGAGGTGAACAGATGAGTAAATTAATGATTTCTAGGATCCTGCAGCTGGGTCAGACCCTGGCCCTGGCCTTTGGGGCATCAGGACTGGCAGGGAGGCTGGCAGCAGCATGAGGACGCTGGCCACACAGAACAGAGGGGAAAGGAGAGGTCCCTTTCTCCATGCGATGGAATGGGTGGAGGATGTGGAGGGGAACCGAGCAGTGACTGTGCAGGGTGGCAGCGATTGGGCAGTTATGGTGGGCGCGTGTAGTGACCGTCTTGGGGACCTCCAAACCTGATCTCACACTGTTTCCTTTCCTTGCCTATCAGCCATTTTCCCCACTTTGTGCTGTACAACTTTCCTCCCTTCCTGACAGATTTCTGTACTAAATTTGACTTTGTTTCAACTCTTTTGTTGGGCAAATTACATTAAGATGGATGTTGTAGGTACTCTTTATGGTTTATTTATTGTGATATGGTTTGTATCTCACACTTATAAATAACTTATGTTATTGCTTTTGTTTGTGGAAATGTAACTTACATATTTTATTACGCTTTCTGTAAACCTCAAAAAGAATCTTGTCAAGGAAGCACTCTTATCAGCCATCCAAACTATGGGACATAAAAACCAACACTAACATTATTTTTTAATATGCCAAGGAGGCAGGTTACTCTTGCTGTAGTTGGAAAGGTTTGCTGTCATCGTAAACTTGCGCCTCAATAAAACATTAAAAAGTCTCAAGAAGGATTTTATAAAGTTCAGAGAGGAGGATGAATCGATGGCAGAACCCACAGACACAAAGCAAAGGGCCCAGGTACTGGGCTGGCCTTTCTCTGGGAGTCCCATGATGGGGGGCTTCCTAGAAGGTTCCATGTCCACCTCCCCCACTGAACTGATGTATAGCCCAGTGGTGAAAAACTTGAATCAAGGGATTAGTGTGTGTGTGTGTGGGGGGGTAAGTTCTGGATTCAGGCAGACTGGACTTTGGACCTTGGCTTGGCCACTTCCTAGCTATGTGGTCTTGAGTTGGTATTTTTAGTCTGTTTTTTTCATCTCTAAAATGGGGGTAGTAATATTTGGCATTCTTATCAGGAAGCATAGGTGCTAATTTGTAAGGCTCAGTGGGTGCTCAATAATGATAGTGGGTCTATTTTATGCTTGCTTTGAAACTAACTTCCTCCATTTCTGTTCTTTTTTGTGTTGCAGGGGTTAGAACTTAGGGCCTGGCTGAGCTAGGCCAGTGCTCTATCCCTGAGTTCTAGCTCCACCCCTACCCTTCTTAGGCACTTTTTGTTTTTTATGGCAAGGTGTGCTCTCAAATGCTACCTTTTTTCAAACTGCTAACTGCCTCACATAGGCCTAAGTTCCCAAATGCCAGATCTCTTTCTCCAATTTCTCTCACCAAACCTGCTCATTCTGTTTTCATGCTCAGTTCTCTGTGGGTAGTTGGCTAACTTGTTCACTTGTCTTAGCTAATGGCTACATGCCAGTCCAGTTTTGCATTTTGAAAGGGGCCGGCACTACTCTCACCCCAAGGTACATCTAGGTTGTCAAGTCCAGTGGGAGTCCAGGGGACCAAAGTGGCCTTTCTAGGTTCCTCAGTTCATCACACACAGTGCAGTGATCCTATTCTCCTCTGACCACCCCCCCAGCCCCGCTTTGTAGAGAACTGGTTGATAGGTCAGAACAGAAAAACAGAAACACCTAGAACACAGGATACAGCTTTCTCAGGGCCAGGTTCTGAAGTCAGTGTTAAAAAATTGAGGCAAGTCAAAATACCTTCATACTGCTTCCTGCTTGAGCAGTAGCTTGATTTGGAGCCCTATATTGTATGAACAACCATGTTAGTGCATTAGAATACTGTTGGAAGGTTGAGGCATGCACATGTGGCCCACATCCTCCCTCTAGGCAAGTGTTTGTGAGGTGGCCGGCCTAGTGGAGTTCCCAGCCCTGTTCACTTTCTCCTGTTGCTGAATCTGAGTCAGTCAGGTATGTGTGTAATCTGGTTAGACCACACTGTGTAATAGTTGTACTAGCTGTCATTTGTGTACCTTCCACAGGGTTAGGTGTGGCCTTACATGCTTGCTTTAATCTTGTGATAGAAGGTCCTTGCAGAGACCACTTCCACATGGGTAAGCAGGTCCCTGCTTGAGTCCTCACTGTCTCCCACCCATCAGGCAGGCTCTCCAGGCTTGGGTGGGTGAGGTAATAGTCTCATTGGTTGTGGGAGGAACGTGCAGAATAATGTGATCCATGAACACCCAGCCTCCCTACTTTCTTTTCCTTCTTTAGGAAAGGCTCAGAATAGAATATAGCCCTCTAAGAAAAATCAAGATTATGTTCCCAGTTTTAATGAGAAACTTGTAACTGAAATCAACCTGTCTTGCAAAGTCCAAGTAATATTGTGACAGACAGCTCCGAAAATGGCTTCCAATGAGCCTCACCTCTTGGTAGTCACAGTCTTTGTGTAATCCTTTCCCTTGGATGGACCAAGGATTTCCTTCTACTGCACAGAAGACAGCAAAAGTGACGGGATGGCCCTTTTGAGATTAGGTTATAAAAGACTGACTTCCAGACCACAGCATTCTCTCTGGCTCTTATCTGATGAAACAAGATGCCATGTTGTGACATCTCAATGCAGAAGCCCATGAGGCAAGGAACGGAGGCAATCATCCATGAGAAAGCGACTCCTGCTAACAACCACAAGTAAGCCAGATACAGGTCCTTTTCCATTTGGGCCTGGAGATGATGACAACTCTGATCAGTAACTCCGATGCGGCTGTGAGAGACCCTGAATCAGGGGACTCAGTCATGCGTTCCTGACCTACAGAAACCATTGGGTAATAAATGTTGTGTTAAGCCACTAAGTTTTGGGGTAATTTGTCATGCAACAGTAGAGTTCTGAGAAACAAATGGAAATGGACCTAAATATTAACTGGTTTCCATTTACCATTGAAAGATTCCAGGAATTCCTTTGAGGCGAGACAGATCTGGGTTCAGATTCTGCCTATGTGACTTATGTGAGTTACGAGCCATCTTTGAGTCTTAGTTTCCTCATCTGCACAGTGGAATTAATGCTACCTATGGGAAATAATGTGTGTCAAGGGTGTGATAAGAGTGTGTTCTCCAGCGTAAGTGTGCTGCCTCTTGGTGTGTTCTGCAAGTCCAGGATCCTGAGCAGGGCCTGTGGAAGTCACTGGTCCTTCTCTGAGAGTAGCTCTCCAAGGCCAAGTCTCAAGGACCTACCTTGGCTGCTATGAAAACCCCAGGTGACATCTGGCTGTGTGGCAAAAAGAAGTGAGTGTACTTCTGGCACTTTCTTGTGAACCTTTTAATGCAAACAATAGAGTGCTTTTAAGACATTTGTAAAGAAAACATTGCCAGAATGGGGCATTGACTTCTATAACACATTTTTTTGTGGGATGAGTACAGCTCCCAACAAATAGGAATTCTTGTTAAACTTCTCTGAACAGCTACTGTTTTACAGAGTTCAACATTTGCCTTTTGAAGGAAAATTATATTTCCTAATAAAATATGCAGTAAGGCCAAGGCTTACTTATTCACTAAATACTACAAATGATCCCATCTATAGCAGTTTTCCTGAATTTCCTTTACACATGAAAGACAAACATTTTGAGATAAAGTTGGATAAGTGCTTTTATATGACAAGCCTGTCACAAAGTTCAACCATCAAGAAATGTTTCAAGAATACTACTCTGAAAAGTGAGATTATAACAGGAATCTATGGGATTATTTGTTTAACAGTAAGGCTGACCTTTCATGTCTTATCAAGAACAAAGGGCAGAATATTTGTTATAAGCCTGAACCATGAAGGCCGAACATTGACACACATTTGATAGGGCAATCTCAAATTAATAACCTATTTGTAGTATATCAAAAACTCTAAAGGCCTTCATTTTCTGGGTTTGAATTGAGTCAAAATCCCAACAATAGTTGAGTTTTTTTTGTTGTTGTTGTTTTTGTTTTTGGTACTGGGGATCGAACTCAGGTCTTTGTGCTTGGGAGGCAGGCAGTAGAACCACTAAACTAAATTTCTGGCCTTAAGAGTTTTTTTTGAGGAATGGAAACCAGCTGTTCCTGTTCTGAAAACCTAAACTTAGCACCTACACTGCTTTGGGTGCTCCAAGAAAGCAGAGTTGCTCAAATACTCTATTTTAACTAGTTACCTTCAGCTTCTCTTAAAAATCAAACAGAGCGAGAAGGACTGAATGCTGGCAGACCCAGAACTTGCTACAGGGGCTACATGACTCCTGGAGAACTCTCTCCGGCAGGCAGTAATTGCGCAGCTTAATTCTTCTAGACTGAACCACTTCAGATTTATGCCAGTGAAAAGCAAACATTGTTTGTAAGTCATTTAATTGTGTTACTGTCTCTCAACTTTATCAGATGCTGCTGAGGCCAAGAGGCCTGTGTGCAGTCCTGTGGGAGACTCTGCAGTACTCCCAGTCTCATTCTAAATGCCCACAGATCCAGAGTCCCTAATATGGGATCTTCCAGACGCAAAAACTACTACTAATTTAATGGGTTCAAGTGGCATCTGTCTCAATCTAAGATCCATGTTGAAGGCTCCATCTCTAAACTGACAGTCATGGCTGCAGAACCATTAACTAGTCCACACTTAGGTGCAAACCAGGTTTATTATGTTCTTTGGTTAAATGTTATTTCCACATACTTTCAGAGCATTATGACAATCCAGGTAATGATCTCTGATAGACTGAAAACACATGTTTTGCTTCTTCAGAGCAAAGACTGAATTTGTTTGTGCACTATTATAAATTTTTACAATTAGGCCAAACTTATAAAAAGGTAGGGCTTTTGCTTTTTGTTTTGAAAAATAGATTCCCCTGGGCTAGCCTGCATCACTGTCTTGAGACCCAGAATTCCGAGTCTCTTGATAATGGCTGCTCGGCAGAGGGTTGGAGAGTCAGGTCAGCTCATCATGTCCAGACTACATAGTTCAGGGCGGCCATCACTGCGCAAGGCCTCTGCCACATCTCTTCTGAAGACAGAGAGGTTCTGGGTGAACCTGTGGAAAGATGAAACAGTAAGCTGAAGCCAGTGCGAACCTGTGGACAAAAGGCTCCTGAAGGGTTCAGGATCCTAAGAGAACACCTGAAGGAAGGCTCCAGAGGACAGGGAGTTCCCTCCTCTTCACATCCCACTTTGCTGTGCTGCTGCCAGCACAGCCCTCCCAAGTTCCCGCTTGAGAAGACAAGGTTCCCACCAAATCCGCTCTAATCATTTCTGCTTGTGGAGTACATTTTGTGGTTCTATGATTTAAAAAAAAAATTTAAAGTCAAATTATACATGGATGGTAAGGAATATAAGGAAAAGAATCCAAGGTTATGTGTCAAACACTGGATTGAGTTTACATGTACTCATTTAATTATCACAAGTTTTCTCAAAGGTAGTTAGTGTCTTCACTTTACAGATGAGAAAACTGAATTAATGGTTACAAAAGATGGGGCACAAATCCTAACTCCTCCACTACTATCTGATGCTGGATGAATACTTAACCTTCTGTCTTGGTGGCTAATATGAGTGGCTACCTCACAGGACAGTAGGGGTGAGAATTTATTGAGATGATTGAGACTGTGCCTATAGACGCTGAACAATATCTGGTACGAGGAAACACCTAGTCCGTGCTGGCTGTTACTTTCGTGAAACTAGGAAGGCTGCCTACACCATTTTGGCGAGCAGCTCAGGAGTGCTCCTCCAGTTCCAAATCCCAGGTGAAATAGTTTCCCTCTGTACCTAAGATTTCCCCACTCATCAAGTGACCTTTCTAGATTTTGAGGTTGCCTGTTTCTGCCTGACAGAGGACTTTCGAATAAAACTTATAAGCAAGGGAACATGTCTGCACACCCTTCCTGACTTGGTCTTGTGTTATCAAAGCATTGGCTGGTAACTCCAGTGTACACTGCAGACGGCGATGATGAATGTCATGTGCTTCAAATGGGTGCAGCATTTAAATGCTACCACATTTATGAAGAGGCAGTTTTCCCCGAACACATTTCATCTATCATTCATTACTGTCTCCTTCACTAGAAAGTAAACTCTAGGTAAGAACCTTGAGCAGTTGGTTTACCTTAGGTAAATCTCAATGCCTGTACATACTAGCCTCAATAATGTCTGGTGAACTGAATGAATGAATGAATGAATGAACAAATTGGCTAGTGAGGCCTGGCCAATGAGTTTGGTTCCTCCTATTAAGCTCTCACAGGTAAAGGGAGGAACTAGTACTTAATGCAGGTCATCAGTCCATTGCACCATACTTTGCCACCTCTGTCATTCAACCCTCACAACTGTCAGTGTCTGCATTTTACTGCTGGAGAAACTGAGTAGAAAAGTTAATTGCCTTTCTGCCACACAGCCCATAGAGGGTCTGTCTGTCCTCAAAGCTTGTTTGTTAAAAATGCTGGAAGATTTTACTTATCTTCTGTGACAGATCTGAGCTTCCCTTCTTTTGATTTTTCCAATTACAGTTAATTTTCATATCTCTCGTGTTGGTGTATAAACTGTTTAAGGGCAAAGGCTGCATTCTTTTAATTGTGCATCTGTACAGTGCCTAGCGTTTTGTTTGGGAGAAAGCAGATACCCAGTAGTATGTCCTGAATGGAAATGCGTTGGGTTTAACATCACAAGATGTAACAGAGAAGCCACATCAAGATGTGAGCTATGTTAAGCACAGTCCAATTATTTTCACAAACCTGGAATGTCTGCCTTCCCCAGATATGCCCAACTAGGCGATGCTCACCTGTCTCTGTTCTTGATGGACAGATTCTGCTCCACGCCTTCCATCAAGTTCCGGAAGCACTGGGCAAGAACCTCCTGCTTAGGGAGAGGTTGGCTGTTTATCAGACTTGCTCTCAGCTCACTGAAATACTGTTGGGGGATAGAACCATGTCAGGGCTCTGACTCCAAACCTCACCTGGAGAACGATGAGGGGAGAGGGCCAGATGAACTCTGATCTGCTATGGGCTCATCAGTATTCACAGGAATTTTTGTCCAGGTCCATATAGAATTTTAAGCCCTTAGAGAAAACCTAAGCCACAGAGACATTCCTAGGTATAAAACTATATTATCCTTTCTCATAAAAATCTCTTGCTGTAATTGTTCTATTGTCATCTCTTAGGCTGACAGAGTCCTTCCTCCTCTGCAGGGGACTGAACCCATGGTCTCCCTGAATCTCATCGCCACTTAGCACAGAAAGGCTGAATGAAGAAGAGCCCCAGCCTGAGGGGAAGAACTTAAGTAAAGATGTCCAGGGAGCACTCTGGGTGACTGAAGGCAAGGCCAAGGGTCTCCCCGCAGGCCTCATCATCTTTCCTGGCTTCAGTGAATCACTCCTCAAACAACTCTGGGCTGTGTTCCAAGTCTCTGTCCTTGTGGGTTAGAATGGGTCCGCCCTGCTGAGGCAGGATACTAGAGGGGCTTGCCTGGTTCCGGGACAACTTGCTGGCACTAAGAAAAATACCTGTCATACCTGGTCACAAATAACTGCACAGCCCTTCTCTGCAGGGTCTGTGGGCTTTATACAAACACAAGCTCCGGTGCTAAACACAGTTTCTAATCATTGGAAACAACCTAATTTCAGCACAAAGGAAACATTTCGCCAGGCATGGCATCCCAAGTAGCATGGTATTTAATTTCCATCATACATTAAAACAGCTCACATCAAAAAATACACATAATTAATATGTAGTCAGGCTAATACTTAAATACTATATATCAGAGGCATTACACTTAAACTGCAATGTCTTCCTGAACAAGATCGGGAATGCACAAAACTACTTATTTTTCCCTTTTATAATGATGCAGTGACTCACACCAAATAGAAAATTATTAGTTTTTCACCCCAAACCATGAAATATTGCCTCCATCAGTAAAGTATAATATTGTGATGTCATAAGCTTTTTCTAAACACTGAATTTGCCCTTATTCCCTCTCAATCATTTTAAAAGAACTGCTCTCCTTTATAGAGCTTGGATTTAAATCACAATAACACCAAGGGAAGATGAATGACAGTGCTATTGAATGTGGCTAAAATTGGATACTTCAGCACAGGTGAATGATGAGACAACTCTTCTCTTTTTGATACATTTTCTTCTTCTATTAGTTTCCTTCCAAGGCTGGGATTTTAGTTTGAATTTTAATGTATGCAGCTGCCTCTTATCTCACTGTCTTTTTTTCCCAAGTACTATCTTATTGTATAGACAATTCATTCTCCCAGGCAGTAATACACTGTTCCTTCCTACTTACTTCTGGGGAGGCAGGGTAGGTTCAAAAGAAACCTGGAGAGGCTTGGGAGATAGCCCAGAGTGGCAAGTGCTCTTAAGAAGCTGGATATGTTGAGTTCCCCAGATGAAGAGCACTGTCTATATGTACAAGTCCCTAAAGGGCCACTGCTGCCACCATTTAGGGCAGCAGGGATCCAAGAAATAAAAGGAGGCCTCAAGAGGAGGCCAAAAAGGATCGCTACTCAGAATTCCTCAGAATATGGAGGAGGGAAGTGAGGGTGACCCTGAAACACTACTGGGCAATTTTCTACTGTCCCAGTTAGTGGGGGCTCTGGGTTCCAGAAGACCTGGTCTTGAGGCCTCTGTGTAACTGAAGAACTGAGGGCTCTGGGAAAGAGCCTTCTGGGGGAAGATGGCTTTGCTATGGAGTTGTCAAGGTCCCAGCTCAAACTCAGATGGCTTTGTGCCTCTGTGCTTCACCATCACAGCTTAGCTGGTGTACAGCTCCTCTGCTTCCAGGAGACCTTTCTGCAATCACACTCACCTTCTCATTGAGGAGGATAAGCCCCAGGAGAGGCCTGGACACTGACCACTGGTTTCTACAGTCTTCAAAGACAATGGTGTTCATCAGGACGGACATCATCTAGAAGAGAGTCACACGAAGATTGGAATGTCTTGGCTCACAGCTGCCCTGAAAGCCTGGCCTTTTATGTGCTCATCTTCCAAGCCCTCCAGCTTGCTAACAGTTGGGGGATTGGAGGGAATTTCTACGTAGATAGGTTTGCATATGAAAGTCCAGAAAACTGCCTGTATGAATTCTTGGCAGACTCTCAGCTCTTTGAGGAAGAGTCTCTACCACCAAAAGCTTGGCAAGAACCTTCTATGTGGGCAGAAGTCAGAGATCGCAGAGCCAAGTGGACCAGCCCCTGCCCCCCATACTTAGATGTTTTCCTGTAATGCTAGAGCACCAGGTAAAGGCCCAGCTCACCTTCCCATCTGCCTCATTTTGATTATATTGTTATGATTATGTCATGTTATGGACAGGCAACATATCTCCATAGCCTCTCTGAGAGAGTGGAATGGGATACATTCCATGTTACCTTGGAATACTGTTTCCTGCTACCTCAGTTATTCCTCATTCACTAATTCACTCACTCATCCATTCTCACCTACGAACACCCACATACTCATCTCTCCTTTAAATTAAAAATTCACGGCACATAGGGGAGATGAGAACACAGGCATCTACTACAACCTCTGTGACCAGGAATCTTGAGACCTTCTGGAAAAGACCATCTAGAAGAGAAGAGAAAACAGCCGGGAAAGTACTGTGGGCACTGAATCCTCAAAGAGTAGTGAGAGAGACTCCACAGAGAAGGTAACACTTAAGGAGTTCATCGTAAATGTATTCTAAGCAGGAGGAGGGTGGTAATGGACACAATGGGTTCTGCAGGTAAGGAACCCAGTGTGGCAAGACGGGGAGAGGCAAGCTTGAACTGAGGCTCCAGGACCAGGCTAGAAGACCATGCTGAGGAACCAGGACTTCATCCTGGTGATGAGGGAGCCACCGATGGGCTTGTGGCCAAGGTGACACAGTCAGATTTGCACTTAAGAAAGATTCCCTCTGGAGGCCTGCAGAATGTGCCCTCTGCAGATGAGACTACAAGAGAGGTGAAATGAGGCTGCTGCAACAGTCCAGGCAAGTGGTTATGAAGCAGGTTTTAGTCATTACTTGGAGTTGATGATAGTTTCTGTTTCTTGGACTCTATCTCTCCCTGCAGCCTTTCTGTTCTCACAGTCCCAGAGCCCCCCCACACCCCTGAAGGCAGAAGAAATGGCAATTATGTGGCAAAGACCACCAGACATATCACCCCAAATGGGCTTTGGTGATTCAGCTTGCTTTGAACATATTTGGTTGTGTCCTCTGGCATTTTTTTTTGTAATCCAATTTACCCTATGATCTCTGGCAAGTTACTGAACCTCTCTCCCTCTGTCTCAGTTTCATTAAAGAGAGAAATAATAATCCAGCACAAGGAAACTCTGAGAATCCAAGGGATGGTATTTATAAAGTGTTGCAAAGAGGAAAAAATGCTATAGACACTGGAGGTATATAGTAAGAGTAATGAGTGTCTTTGCAGCTCCAAACATTTGCCATTTCCTACACCACCACCATCATCATAATGATCAGACTGGCTGCAAATGAAATCTGGCAATTCTGTGTTTTCTGGATGTCCAGTTTCCCTGGAAAGAGGCTAGGTCTTAAGCTTGGCATGCTGAACATCAACTGCAGATAATGTTTCCAAATATAATCTAACAAGCAAACCAAACTCATAGAGCCACAAATTAAATTGACAAGAAAAACTAACAGATCCATGGAGACAGTCTAAAATATTATGGGCTTCACAGTCTGAAGGCAGAATGGATATTTTAATGGAGAAGATTAAAGTTAGAGGCACCAAATTCCTCCAGTAACTGACAAAGCATCCTGAAGTGATGTGCCAATTACTTTATATGGTCCTCTCGTGTATTCATTTGTCTGAATGCATGTATTTATGTCTGTAATAAGTAAGGAGATGTTTGAATAAAATACTTTTCTAAAAATAAAGTTGGCTAAAGTGGATGATTTTTTTTTCTTTTTCTACTTTTCTGGAAGTATGTAAAGTAGTGAGCAATCCGCTTAAATGACATTGACGTGGCAGCCAATTTTCAAAATTATTTTTTCTAATAGTCTTAGAGTAGGGTGTATGGGGAAAAACAGCCCAACCAATGGAGCAAATTCTTCTGGAATCTTGTTCTCTTAGCTCCCGGGACAACAAAGCCTTCTGGGTGCAGTGATGAAGTTCAGAGTCCCTTCACGGGTACTGTGAAATCCAGAATGAGGTCTCTGATTAAGTTCAAAAGTAAACACTGAAAGAATGGTGCTCTTAGCAACTCTGCATCCTTAGCCGGCAGTGTGATACCAGATACCATCAGCTCTTGGTGCAGGAACAGCTTTGTGAGCTGGGGCTTCACTCCTTCAACTTCTGTTCATTTTCTTCACTGCTACAGGGATAGATGGAATGGCCATTTCGAATCTGCCCAGTCCTGACTATATTCCCTAGGGCCTATGTCCCAAAATACACAAGTTATCCACTGCCATTATTGTAAGCAGGAGTGGGCCCATTGGGGAGGGGAGTTGTATGACTTGCTCAACTCAGGAAAACTCAACTCCATACTGCTTCAGGTGTTCCTTTACCCTCCTTCCTCCTCACAGGTGTTGGCAGGAGTTTGCAGGACATTTCTCTTAGTGATGAGAACCCAACATGGTGTGACAGGAACAGGCTTTGGACACAGTCAGAACTGAGCCCAAATCTGGCCTTGCTACTTAACTTGTGGCACAAGGCAAGTCTCTGAGCTCAACTCTTTCATAGAAAACAGGGGACTCTAACAACTACTTTGAATGGCTGCTGTGAGGAATAAGCTTTATATTTTGGAACATTTTCAAACATTTTATATTGTGCTTGCCACACAGTAGGAATTCAATATAATGTCTCCTTACTGCAATTGTGGCTACCCCCTCTGGCTTAACCCAGTGGAATTTAATGGCTCAAGAAAGTACCCCAACTAATGTCTTGATAAGGTATGAATAAATGATTACAGTCCCCTCACAATTATCTAATTTCATTGAGAACTGCAGTTTAGAAAATAATCTAAAACAGGAAGCAGTACAGAAAGCAACTCAACTTGGTCTGGTCTAGTTTGACTCCCGAAAGGCAGTGATTTTTATTATTTTCAAAACTTGTCCTGTGATCTAAATAAAACACAAAATTACTCCACAAAAACGTGACTTGGAAAAATAAAGCAATATTATACAATATACAGAGGTATTCATTTCCCAGCTCTTCTCTTACTCTTTACCCCAACACGAGATGTAAAGCACAAGCACAAAGTAAAGAAGACTCCATACCCAAATATGCAGTCCCTCCATTTCTCCAAAGCATGACAGTTTTAAATGCTCTTACTTCAGGTTTTTCCTGTTGTTTATCTTGCTGAAGTAGAATAAACACAGCTATGGTTATGTTGGATGCCCTACTGCTAGACAGTAAACAGTCACCTTTCCTAAGGAAGCTGCAGGCTCATGGGTCTACAGAAGGATGACTGCAAATATGTGAGCAGAGGCTGGGGAAACAGTTGCTGAGAAAATGGAAAAAGCCAGCTTACGTGAGTGCAAGGTGACGACTACACCAGAAGTGCAGTGGGAAGATTAGGCTACAGACTCCTGCAGTGCTGGGACTCTGAGAGTTTTTCCATTGTCTCCCCAGTGTCTAGCCTGGCATCTAACACACATCAGAGGCAGAGGAAATAACAACTGAATGAAATACAAGTACATAAAGGAAAAAATGAATAAATAAGAAAGGACTGAATGATGTATCATGAGCCAAAGAGGGAAAACAACATTGTACAGAAAACATAAGTTCTGGCCTCAGATTATGTCTAAAACTTGAAATGGTTAATTATCTAAACTAATAAATTGTTCATGTCCAAGAATCTTAACTTATGCACAAAGCATGAGAACATTTCTAAGCTCCTGCTATGCCTATACAAAGCAATTCCCAGGAAGAATCCTTGTTAGAGGTTTTAGGTTACAAAGGCCCAAGACTGGCCCATATTTTCTAATGAAAATAATTTCTATCTAAGTGTAAACTGTGCTTGATGAGCTTTCCTCACATCTAATAATAAGCATAGCTATCATTTATGGAGGGTCTTCTGGGTGCTCAGCACTCTGCTAAGTACTTGCACACACAAATCCTGGACTAACCCTGGGAAATAAGTATTATGTTCCATTTTATAGACCAAGGGTCTGAGGTCTCCAGCAATAAAGTAATTTATTCAAGGCATCATGGCTACCAGGTCATGTGCACAGGTCTGTTTCAATCTATCATGCCAGCTGGCTGACTGCCACCTTCAGGTGTGGACCAAGACCATCACAGTGATGACTGAGGCAGTGTGACTGGCTTCTGTTGCAGACTTCTGGAGACTGAGATGAAACACTCATTTTTGGACATGGCTCTTTTTTCCACTTTTAGTGGACCTCCGGGATGTGTTGCCCATGTGTCATCTTTCATCCAGGAACTCTGCCACTTGCCAATGAGTCAGGCAGACACTGAAATTCCTGAGATTAGAATCCAGGGCAATGATTGCTGTAGAATTCACGTCAGACCTTCTTGCCTCCCACCTAAAGCTTTTATAAATTTGGTTAATATATTTTGGGACTCTCAAGGTGAACTTCAGTAGATTTAATTGATAGGTTGTCTATGGAAAATAGTTTACTGAACACTTTTACAAAAACAATGATTTTGAATACTATATAT